TGTGATCTAGTTCTATGCATATCAAAATTATGTACCCATTCATAGATCAATCGATAATATAGTTAAAAATCTCTTGAAATGGGACTTTCTGCATTGTGTGTTCTACTAGCAGAACTTATAAAGGACTCGAATGACCGCATCATTTTTCAAAACCACTTGAATACCCTCCTTTTCTTATCATAACCATTCCACCACTTCACAAGTCCAGCTTATTCATGAATTGATAACTATCAGACCTCAATTCTTGCGAGGGATGTCGATATCCATCTCAGCCTAGTTTGTGCGTAAGCTAAGGCTGTGGACTTAAATCTTATAGAGGTCAGTTGTTGGGAAGCAGAACAGAAAACGTTGCTCTGATGTTCGGAAGGATATTCACGTCAGCGAGTGTGGTAAACACGCGGGCCACTCAGTTTTTACTTATCTTATCTTGCCCAAGTTTTCGTAGCCATCGATTAGCTGCTTTTCATTTGAAATTGAGTTTAACTTAGCCAAGCAGCTCGTATTGACCACCGATTTGTACCTCACCTCACCTTTCCCTGTTTTTTTATTGAGTGAATCTACAAATTTTTAACACCTAACGCTTTGTAATGTTGTTCTTTTCAGCTGCATCCAAAGCATCGCTTTTGAAAGAAGTAATATGGAGTATTGGGGTATCTAGAACAAAATGATATGCCACTCAGATGCTCCTGTTATCTGGGGATTTAGGTATACGAATGACACTTAGCAATATACTTTTCATAATTAAAGAATTTTTGAGTTGAACGCAAGAGGTTTCTCCTTGTAAATTGCCGCAGATTTTCGTACTTTCAATTTATATTGCATTTACACAAACCTTCTTATTGAAACTCAGTTGTTGTCCACAACAGCAAAATCAAATCCGACACAAAAGTGCAGGGGTACTTTGAACTTGAAGCCACCCAAGTGAAAGGGGTGGTCGACAGAGAAGGGAGGGAAAAGGGGAGGGGAGGACATCTCAAGCCTTGCAATTCTGAGTTCCAGTAGATTGCCTCCCGAAGCAGGACTACCACCACATATTATACTAGTTGAAAGAAGAGAAGCTCCTCAGTGTAACGTATACCTCAACAAATGAAGGTAGCTTAAACGACACAATTTGAAGTCTGAGAAAAATGAACAAAAAAATCAAATTCCCAGAATACAATACTATCAAATCATCATTGTTTTTTCATGATGCTACTACAAAAACAACCTTCAAAATTACCATTTTATTTTGAAAATAAAAATCCCCTTAAAGCAGAAAATGTAGAATTTATTTCATATCCATAGTAGTTTTCTATCCATCTTCTGAATTTTTAGAAGGAGGTTTATCAAAATTTTTTTAAACTTGGTAAATCATCACTTTCATTCTTGGCCGCAGTAAATTGGGTGTTTGCATCCTGGCCCAAAGTGGAAGGAAGGTGAACCAAGTTGTTTCATCGCATCTATGATTCTCTCCAAAAAGTTTTTTGTAGTATAGAACAATAAAAATAAAATCGACTCGCGCATGCCGCATCGGAATGGACGTCCACTTCGGTTCGCTTTCTCTTGTTTTAGTATGTTCTAATTTGTGAAACAAATGCATACATCGACAGCAACGTTGAATACATTGCAAAGTCAATCCTGAAATGATTGGATAGAAAGCCTATAAAGCGCATTTAGTTAGGATGATAGTCGTTGTTTCAAGGAATGAGCTGTGTTGCAAATGGCGATGTCTAACAAAACAATGCGCATTCTATATAGCGCTACCTCTATGTGTTTCGAATTAATCATCTTAATCATAGAAATGATGGAAGGAAGTGCTCGTGCTGTGCATAATGACTGAGTCATGTTTCCTAAATTTGATTGATGTCGTGTTTCAGATGTGGAGGTGGAAGATCCCCTGAAGCAGCATATGGCCGCCTTTGTGCATGCGCAGTCAAATACCCAAGATATCGCAAATTTGGATCAGAAAATATACGACGTTGTTGATCAGGTATGATGAAGTTGTAGTTGACTTATGCTGTAATAACTTATCTAACTATTTGTAGATAAACGAATGGAAGACGCGTCGTGACTTTTATGTGCGCTTTGCCGATCATCCTTATGAATTCATAAGGAAGTGGCTTGTTAGTCAAAGCCAAGACCTCAAAGTTGGTTTTTTTTTCTTCTCATCCTTTCAAATCATTGTTTAATTCGAATTACTTAGTTGGTCATTGGAAAGAAAACGTAATTCCCTTTTTAGACTATGACAGAAGCAAGTGGTGAAGGTGAGGCTGAACGCCGTGCTGATCATTATTATAGGCCGGAAACTCAAGAGGGTGTCTTTAGGTAAGTCATAAAATTTTGAAATCTTGTTTCGATTAACTTAGCTGTTTGTGTGTTTCAAAAATTGATCACAATCAGAGAGCATTTTTGAATTATCCCTTATCCCTAGCGCGAATAATGACCAATCGGGCCCATGTTTACATTGTCCGTGTTTCGATTCTGTGGGAAATAACACTTAGCTCTGGAAAGAAATTCCTATAAACACCTGATTTTTTTGCAATTAAGAGCAAGTTACGTAAGAAAGCCGTATGTTTTTTTAGTTATTGATTTTTAGCCTCTTGCAAGGCGCACTAAAAGAGACTTTTGAAATATATTCTAGCCACTATGGATGTTATCGATAGATCTCTGACTGCTTTTTTTCAAATGTAAACTTGTCTGCAATGAACAGTCTTTGCGCGTGTGGCTATGGTTGATTAAAACGGTACTGAAACTCCATTTCGGTTGCTACTTTCACAAATATTGCGAACAGTGATGGATCTACTATTCATTTTCGCAGCTCATGCTTAAGTAGTAGATTTCAGATACATCTATCAGAAAGTGCAACAGAAAAGAGCAGAGTTGGAGCAAGGCCTTGGCGTTAGAAATAACTAATCTTTGTTCCTGTTTTTTTTGCTTGTCATTAATTGCTTTTCTGTCTCATATAATCTCTGTTAATTTTTGAAAAATCAACTGTTCCTTTGTTACAGGTAGTTAATGTCATCTATTGGTATTTTGAATTTTTTAAAATTATCAATAATCTTATCTCTTTTGTTGGATATGACCAACAGTTGTGCTAATATATCCTTTTTCCGTGTATTGCAAGTATCCACCTCCAAGCAACACTTCTCAAGACGTGTTTTATTCCTGTT